ATACCAAAAAAAAAAAAAAAAAAAAAAAGACAAATGGGGCATGATGGCACACCTGTAATCCCATCACTCAGGAGGCTTCCAGGATTGAGGCCAGCCTGGATTCCAGAGTGAGGCCATAGCTCAAAAAACAACGGCTCAGGGCTGGTGAGATGGCTCAGTGGTCTAAAGCACCTACCTACTTAGAACAAGCTAAGCTGAGCAAAGCACAGGCACCACGGTTCAATCCCCCAGCACCACATGCCAGCCAGCCCCCGCCCCCTGGTGGGCTGAGCTGGCCACACACACACACTAAATAAATAAATAAATAAACGAATAAAATTTTTTAAAAAATGGCTCAGAGTGAAGGCCCTGAGTTCGATCTTCAGTACCACAAAAAAAAAAAAAAAAAAAAAAAGCCACTTGTCTCTCAGGGTTGCAGTCAGGATTTGTCTTTTAAAACAGTATCTCCATAAGAAGATCAGGCTGAACTTGAACTCACTGTGTATCCCAGGCTGGCCTCAAGCTCCACAATCCTCTATGCCTTGGCCTCCCAAGTACTAGGATTATGGGTGTGCATCACCACACCCAGCTTGTAGTTAGTATTAAATGAATTTACATCTATAAAAATAGTCCCCAAATTTAGAACCATGCTTTTTAGATCTGGCTATTGAGATTGTCAGAAGACACAAGTTCAAGGCCAACCTAGGCAATTTAGCAACACCTTTTCTCAAAATAAAAAGCAAATCTTGGTAGTTCAGTTGGCAGAGTACTTGTAGCACACAGCAAAAAGAAGAAAGCATGTAGATATTTTTTCTGTATTTTGGGGAAGGGTCTACATGGTGTTCAGGGTCTCACTAGATTGGACTGGTACTGATCCACCTGTTTACAGCCTTCTAAGACCTGGGATTACAAGTTAGCGCCACCACGCCCTGTCTCAATTGCCGGCTCAATGCACTCCAGGGGCGGGGCCAGCAAGGCAGGCCTGGGGATCAAACCTCCAGCCCCTGCACCTGCTTGCAGGCACTTTATAATCAACAGAGCTATTTGGCACGCCCTAACGTAGATATTATGAACTTGTTTTTTGTTTATTTTGTTATTGTGCAGGGTTTCATTATGCAGCTTGGATTCTTAGTGATCCTCCTGTTTTTAGCCTCCTGAGTGCTGGGATTACAAATGTGCACCACCACACCCAGACTCCATTGCACTGGGAGGTGGAGCCGGCAGGGCATGCGGTGTCAGGGATGGAACCCTGGCCCCAGCGCTTGCTGAAGCAAACGGTCCTCTTGAGCTATCTTGCCAGCCCAGGCTGCTCTCAAACATGCAAGGATCCTCCCAAATGTTGGGATTACACCTCTGCACTACCATGCCTGGCTTTATAATGTAGCTTTGAAGTTAGAAAGGTTCAAACCCTGTTTGGTTTTTTTCCCTTTGGAACTGGGGATTGAACTCAGGCCCTTGTGCTTGCCAGGCAAGTAGTTATTCTACTGAGCTATCCTACAGCTGCTGAGACCATTGTAGGTGCTGCCATCTGCCACGCCTGACTCCTGGGCCAAAAGACAAACCCCGGATGGCCTAGGTTGCACAAAGGTGGCCGAGGCCCCCACCAGGCAGCTGCGGAGGTGCTGGAGGTGTGATGGAAACGGGGGTAGAGGTGTTGGTACTCTAAGGAAAGTTTTATTTCCATTTTTTCTATTTTCTTGTTCCTTTCTTCCCTTCCTCTTCCCTCCCTTGTTCCCTTCTCATTTGAACGTTATTTTCCCATCTCCCAATATCCATTGTACATTTTGGTCACATCAGAGAAACAATGCGATATTTAAACATATGCGTCCTGCAGGGCGTAGTGGCATACGCCTGTAATCCCAGCACTAGGGAGGCTGAGCCAGGAGGATCACCACAAGTATGAGGCCAGCCTCAGTTACATAGTAAGTTCAAGACTAGTTGAAGAGGCCGGGGAGATAGCTCAGCAGACTATGTGCTTGCCTGGCAAGTGCAAGGGCTTGAGTTTAATCCCCGGTTCTGCCAAAAAAGAAAAAAAAAAAGTATGAACTACATAGCCAGACCCTGTCTAAAAATAACTTAAAATGGCCAGGGATATAGCTCAACAGCACAGCACCTACCTTGCAAATTTCTGCGTTCAATTTCCAGGACCAAAAAATTTTTAATAAAAAGAAAAGGGGCCGGGGAGATGGCTCAGTGGAATAAGCACTTCCCTGGCAAGCACAAGGGCCTGAGTTCAATCCCTGGTTCCGCAAAAAAAAAAAAAAAAATTCCTACAAACTGCCACTATAAACCCAGGTGGGCATATGTTGCTATGAGTGCTTTTTTTCTGATATGGTGCTATAAATTTCCTCTAAAAAAGGAGGGGAGGGGGGCCAGGGAGACGGCTCAGTAGAATAAGTGCTTCCCTGGCAAGCGCAAGGGTCTGAGTTCAATCCCCCTGTTCCGCAAAAAATAAAAAATAAAAAGGAGGGGGAGGGCTGGGGAAACACCTCAGTAGAATAAGTGCTTGTCTGGCAAGTGCAAGGACCTGAGTTCAAACCCCAGTTCTGCAAAAAAAAAAAAAAAAATCCATAAACTCTTGTACATGTGTTTTCATTTGACTTCATTTCAAAAGTATATACTTTATTAGAAAAAAATAAATAATAAAATTAACCAGATAAATTAGAATTTTTTTTCTATGAGCAGAATATATTTATAGAGAAAGAAAGCTATCCAAGAGAGGGACAGTGGGGGGGGGGGGGAGTGGTTGTCCCTAGAATTTTCTTTGGTGAGTTAGAAGAATAGAAATAATAGGAATTAATTCTGTAATTTATAGGAATTTGGGTGAAAATTGAATAAACATTTATGTTTGTCAAATATATATATTAGGAAGGGGCCAATAAAGACTTCATGGAGCCAGGCATGGTGGTGCATATCTGCAGTGTTCACCCAGCACTAGGGCAGCTGATGTAGTAGGAAGATCGCTGTGAGGTCAAAGCCAGCCAGGACTACATAGTAAGTTCAAGGCCAGTTAAACTACATAGTGAGGGGCCGGGGAGATGGCCCGGTAGAATAAGCACTTCGCTGGCAAGCGCAAGGGTCTGAGTTCAATCCCCAGTTCCACAAAAAAACCCCACAAAACTACATAGTAAGAATCCGTCTCAAAAACCAAAAAGGACTTCAAGGAGTACAGATGACACTGGACCTTAAAATATATCAGAATTTAGCTAGACAGGGAGGAAGATACCCTGGGAGGGAGAATAACATAAATAAAAGTAAGAAAGTGATGCCAGGCATGGTGGCATATACTTAACAATTTCAGCACAGAGGAAAGTGAGGCTGGAAGATCACTGTGAATTCATGGCCAGCCTTGGCTACATAGAAGACCCTGTCTCAAAACCAAAAGTGAGGTCCTGAGTTCAATCCCTGGTACTGCCAAAAAAAAAAAAAAAAAAGTGAGAACCTTGGAGTAAGTATGAACACCTTCAGGGTGCAGTATAGAGGCTAAGGGAGAAGTGAGAAATCAAAACTCAGGGGGCTTGGGGTGATGCAGCACGCCTGGCATCTCAGCACAAGGGAGGCCAAGTGTGATGCTTTGTCTCGTGCCCCCAAAGCCTCATGCAGTCATGGCCAGGCTTCCAGAGTTTGTGATTGATTCAGGGTCCAATGCTGGGATTATGGGTGTGAGTGCTACACCCACCCTGGGGCAGGAAGCCTGCATGCAATATAAGGGAGGGAAAGAGGCTTGCTCTCTCCTTCCTTTTGCTCTTGTTGCTTTTTCTGTCTTCTGCCACCA